AAGGGCTGTGTGAGTGAGGAACTGGAGGCGGCAGTCACGCCCACCCTATGGTCGGGGAGGGGTGGTGGTGGTCACGGTTGGTCCTTGTTCAGGCCAGCCCAGCCCCTTCAGTCTAGCTGATCTTTCCTGGTGCTCCATCACCTCACAGATGGACTGGTTTGGAATCGTCTGTTTCTGGGTAAGAGGGTGAGCTCTCCAAACAAGGATGTGCTGGCCCTGCTTCACTAAATTCTGTCTGATTTTATGCTTCAGAGTTGGGTAGCTCCCCAGTGAGGAGGCAGGCAGTGCACGTAAAGTTACATATGGTTCTAAATTTAATTCATTTAAATCACCAAATGCATGAGCCTTCACTGTTGTGATGAATTTTTAATGTAACTTGAGCAAGCCTTAGAGAATTTTGCATTCTCTCTGATGCCTGAACATTTTTGACTGAGACATTGTTCTTTAGAATCTCCTTGTTTAGTTCATCAGAAGAGTAGAATATAGACAAGAACTTAAATTATTCACATAATGCTTTAGGCAGTTTTGGTTTTGCACCTTACATTGCAGGCACCAGCTGCTTAATGCTACATGTTGTCTTTAACATGTAGTTGATGCAAATGTAGAATTTCTCTATATGGCAGCTATTTCTCTAGAAAATCCAGTTTTATTGATATTTAATGTATTTGCTTAGATTGGGGTTCTGTGCTGTTGACTGATACTTGTTTCTGGCATAACATAAAATGGAAATGGAAAATGTCTGCATTCTAATTTGATGGTTCCTTTTCTATAAATGTAATGAAAGTCTTTATATTACTTTGCTTTCATTTTCCTTGAAAGTGGGTGAAATAATGGATATAAAGTGGTGTGTAAAGAATAAGATATTTGTATTATGCCATTATTGGTTGTAAGAAATAAGTGTATTAATAGTTTAGTTAGTAGAGCACTTTCGGTACCGTCAGCCTTGGGTTTTAGTTCTGACTAGAGAGGTGATTCAGTTGTGTGATCTCAGGCAGTCCTTGGGTGTCTCTAGAATGAGAGGCATAGGGTGGGACTTCTGGCTTAAGTAGTAAGGACATCAGTCATGAGCATGGGATAGGCCGGAAGTAAGTATACCACATCCTGTCCCCCACTAAGAAGACAAAGGCTTATTACTTGGGGGTTGGGGGGAGCCTTGATGTAGGGGGTAACTGCTGTTTTCTTTCTGTTTCATTCAGTTTTCTTCATCTTTGCGTGTCTCTTCTCCTTACATGCACAGCGTTCTGTCCTGCCCTCTGTTGTGTTCTGTGTCACTGTCTCCATTCCACTTTCCTTGTGTTTTCATTCCTGTATCTTTCTTGTTTAGACCGAGTGGAGCACGCAGCTGGCAGAGCCTCTATGTAGGACCCTTCAGGAACCTGAGGGTAAGTGCACACGTGTACTTACCAGGCTCCCAGCAGCTCTGCCGGACCACTTACCAGGCGCGTCCTGCCTTACAGACAGGAACTAACACATCCCCCTCCCTTCGCAGAAGTCCTTACAGGTGGTTTTCAGTTAGAACTCGGTTTTTTTTTTTACTTCTAATTTGATTATATGTAGAACAAAAACCCAAGTATCAGGGAGAAATGTATTGATTTGAGGAAATGTAGTAGGTGCCGCCAGGGGCTGTTACGGTATTTGTGAGTGACACTGGGAGTACCTAAGAGTGAGTCAGGGCTCCCAGGGTCAGTCTACTGCCATAGACTGTTAGTTCTGGGGGACCCTGCTCTTCAGTTTCTAGCGCAGAAATAGCACGTAGGATGGGGGGTTTTAATATCCCCTTCATCTCTAGTCTTGGTCCTAATGGGAAGTACCTTGAGCATTAGAGGATTCTGATAAAGATTGAGGAAATCATTTTATGTATTAGATTATCTCAGTTCCATTAATTAGTGATGATTAGATTCATGGTAGAGTTGTGTCCATCGTAAATTAAGTCTATCAGTGTTCACCAGAGGCACTTAAGAGGTAAGTTTAATTGTTCCATCACTTAGCTTTTAGAGTTGGTTTGTTAGTATTCTCAAATACTTTAAAAATTTTAAGAAATACACAGACTGTGGAACCCCATATTAATTTAGCCCAGTGGTTCTTAACCTAAAGAGACACTCTCTTTTGGGTGAGGCTTCCGCCATATCTGGAGACTTTTGCTTGTTACAGATGGACTCCTGGGCACACTGTTGGCATCAAATGGGTGGAGGTCAGTGATGCTTCTAAATGTCCTGTCCGCAACAGAGAGCAGTCTGACCCCACATGTCAGTTGTGCTGTGGTTGAGGGGCTTGCAGCAAGCCTGGTGGGTGCTCTTGTTTGCTCTCCAAATAGACTGTCCCTACCACATGTGGCTTCTCTTCACCAGGCAGAACAGGGTTTCCTGGTCATGGTTTTTAAAGAGGATAACAAGGGCAGCAAGGGGTGGAGGAGTGGGGTAGTCTGGTGATGGCATAGCAGCTCACTGATTAGGAGGGTCTAAGACTAAGGTATTGAAGTTCAGTGTCAGCTCAATGTTCTAATATTCTTTTAGGCAGGGGACTAAAATTATGTGCTTTCATTCTTGGTACATACTAATGAATGGTAGCATTAAAGCTGTGATTTGCTTTATATAAATCCAGAAGTTTTACTTTTTTAGTAGTCTGTACATATCAGTCAGTTTACTTTTTTTTTAAACTGGTTTCATATAGCACTTGATAGGTTTCAGAAAATTTTCTGCATTGCTTTTTAAAAAATTGTAGTACAAGTTGACATGTGTTGTTCTATTAAATTTTACAGTGTGACTTAAGGGTTTATTCATGAGAGGTGGAGTTTAGACCTCCCTTTTTATTTATTCATACTTTTATGAAGTAGAAAGTAAGAGGTTGGTAGAAAAGGGTTATATTGTTTAGCCTGTTTGAAGAACATGAGGTGGTACTGATGTCTTATAACTATTTGAGGATTTTGATTCAGGGAGAACGTGTTCTGAATATAACTTTTGAATCAGGCATCTGTGGGCACTGGGAACCCTTTCTATGAACCCCTTCAAACTGGTACTGCAGTTACTAGACCAGTTACATTCATGGCCAAGTAACCATTTGTATTTGCCTTGTTTGCTACCGGTAGTCTGCTATGGGCCAGGCACAACACACAGACAGTACGGCGTATGTCATAGTGAGGATAAGAAAACTGGTTGAATCCAAATTCCTTTAAACACACCTGGATTCTCAAGAGCCTTTGTCATCATCAGATTCAGGCTAAGTGCTGTTAAGTTGGCAAAGGGTGAAAGACTCGAAAGAAGAGGTTATTTCTTACCAGATGAAAAGGTGTGTTCATATCCTTGATCCTTGCAGAAGAGATTGGTTTATTACATTTCCACCTGGAGACACGAATTGGCCAGCTACACACAGACTCTTAGCTCTTGTTTCCACTGGAGTGTGGTTCCAGTGAAGTGCACGCTTGTGTTGCAGGTTCAACCTCAGCTGCCTTTAGAAATGAATGGAGTGATGTGTTACTATGAATTTGAGTGAAGGTTTTATATAATTACAGGAGACATCTTCAGTTTTTTTACAAGCTGAAGAGTTAGGGATTTAAAATGGTATTTTGTTTTTTAAGACTAACAAATCAAATGGCTGATTGTTAAGTATCTTATGCTTTTTTTCTTGTTGCATCTCTTAAATATCTATCAAAATATGGAGGTGTTTTTGACGGTTAGTATTTGTATTGTAGTAGATGTTTCTGTTTTTAATCATGATCTTTGTAGTGGTGATATTTTGTGTCTATGATCTCATTTTATTTGTTGTCTATGTTTTAATTAGTTACTCTCCTCTGTAGTGATTCTCTGCACCTAGTGTTAAGGAGAATACCATTTTCCAGAAGCTGTGAGTGGTTTCTAGTTTCTAGTCACTTACTAAATCAGAGATGAACATGTCAAGAGCTTTGTTCTGAAGAGAAAAGACAGTTCCAGGAGCTGTTGAGGCCTGGGTGGGGGGAGCGTCGCAGAAGAAGGAAAGTTTAGAGGAAGGTGGGTGGAACTTACTCTGAATCTGAAAACTGGGAAACAAAAGCTCCCAGGAGCAAGAAATGTAGAATTTAAAAAATGGAACAGAATCATAGATTCTGATTAAATCCCAGAGAGGGGTAGCTTCCAAACCTTCAGCACTAGTACTTCTGTAGAGAAAATGAAAACCCACTCCAGTATTCTTGCTTGGAAAATCCCTTGGGCGGAGGAGCCTTGCGGGCTATAGTCCAGGGTCACAAAGAGTTGGACATGACTGAGCAACTTCACTTTTACTTTTTTTCAGAGTAGTTCTGTAGGGAAATGTATGTCCATGTTGAACATCTTGGTGACTTTATTGTTCTGACTCATCAGAAATTTGTTGCATTTTGATGTTATCATTTGAACTCTCTTACCACTTGGAATGCAGTTAGCATTTCCTGACTTCTATTCTCGGAGTTGTTAATGAAATACTGAATTATGCTGAACCTAGAGTTGAGTCCCTCCGGACCCTAAGAATGCTTTGCCGGCTGACAGAGAACCATTGAGAATTGCTCTGCATTTGATAGCTGAGCCGTGGTGTTTGGGCATGGCATTCCTTGCTCTTCAGTAACATCTCTGCTCCTGTTGCTTTACTTTGACAGGTCTGGGTAGTCTTTTCTCTGATGTGCTTCTTACAAATAACTAGACTTTTGCCAGTTCCTGTTATTTGTGTGGTGTTGAAATTTAGCGCTCTTCTCTAATTTTCCTTGGACATTCAGTGTTGTTAACTCTTCTGGAATATATTACATATTAGTTTGATAGCTGTTATAAGGGGAACCATTACCCAAGATTCTCAAAAATACAGGATTTGTGGGTTTCTGTTTTCTTTGACATAACCTAGAGGTATTCATATTCATCATCTGTTTCTTTCTTCAGAAATCTGAGGTGATAATTGCCTAGAAATAGTTTGAATTAGTAATTGCCTCCAAAAATTCAGGATAATAGTGAGTGACCAAATGAACAAACAGACAAGCAAACAAATAAATAAATATTGTGTTTCAGGGAAGAAAAAATCCCAAGAAAGTAAAAACAAAGCAAACAAAACCGAAGACATACAGCTGAAGACAAGTGAGCCAGATCCCAGCCTTGCAAATATGAGAGATTCTGCGGAAGGTAAGCTTGGAGTTGGACCTGTAGGATGCGGGCGTGTTTGTCCACCAGCTGCTTTGACTTTGTATCTCCCTGCAGTGCCCTTCTCAGAAACATCCAAGAACTGTAAAGGGTAAAACAGCAAGAAGGCCGCCTACATTTAATATGGCAAGCTGAGCCTTACTCTCCCACCTCCCCTTCAGGAAATTATTGAAGACCTTCCTTGTTCAAGATGAAGTTATTCCCTGGTTAAAATGAAATGAAGTGAAATGAAACGTACTATGTGACTGTATTTATAAATAATTCATAAAGTTCGGAACCACCAGAACAAATCTGTGATGATAGGGGTCAGACAGGCAGGGACAGGAGGAGGCTTCTGGGGTGCCAGTGCCAGTCGATCACAGGGTTGGGGTGAGCACAGCAGGGTATTTACTTTGTGAACATCTTAGTTGCAATATTCATCTTTATAGTTTGTACTTCAGTTAAAAACTTATTTGAAAATATCAAACACCTTGGATTGTATGTGTCAGAATGGAAAGGATAGAGAATGAAATGTTTCTCTTTTTGGTTAAAATTTAAATTTCTGCCTTATCTCTTTGTATTTCTCCCTACAAAATTTTCTTCTTTAGAGCTCTTTCTAAAAATTAAATTAATACTCTAGGCCCACCATGATGTAAGAATTCCCAGAGACAGTGGCTGAAGTTGCTCAGGAAGGTGGGCTGCCCTCTGCCTGAAGCAGTTGAGACACCACACTGACACTCTGGCCAGCAGAGTGGGGGGTGGGGAACAACATGGTCTTACATTGTTATGTGGCAAATTCATGCAGAGACTAAGCTTGCTCAAGAGTTCATAGTGACCCAGATAGGCTGATTTCAAAATACAGACTATGACTCTTTCAAAAAACATTTGTAGAGAAAAAAAAAATGCTGTAGATGCCTTTTATAATCTTTTTATTAGCACTTTTTGTGGCGATGACCTTCTTAAAGGATTATAATTCTCTGCGGCATTTTACGAAGCAAGAACAAATTCACTTCCTAGAGTCCTATAAAACTAAGATCTGCCAGCTGATGGCAGGTTTGCTAAGACATTTGTTGGAACAACAACAAAAAGACCAAAGAACCTTACTACCCATAGTGGTGGAATTAAAGAACAATCCAACAGAACCCTCTCCCCTTCAGCAATTCAGAATAGTTAATTTTCTTCCTGATATAAGTTCAGGTCCTGTGGAAAAAAGATGCTTAGTGTCTACCTGCTTGTGGAACAGCTGGTCAGTATTTGATTGGTTCTGGGCAGTGTGATTGTCAGCGTCTTGTGCGTGTTCTGTTTGGCCCTGAAAAAGTGGTCAGTGTACGGAGCAAGTGGCCAGACTCTCTGTTGTTTCCCAGGCCATCCTTTAGGTTTAAAACTCACCAGACCTCAGTGAGTGTGTGGATACAGTTGGGTTCATAGAGCTGTGTGCATTTTGGTTCATACTACTTTGGACAGCTTTCAATCTGGAATTATTTACCAATCATGGAAAGAATATTTCCGTTCAAAGAAACTATGGATTTTGGCTGAGGATAAATTCTGTAAAGAAAGTTCTGAGCCTTAGAGATGTTATTTTCATTCTGTTTTCTCATTTAGATGTTTTTATTATTATTATTTTAAAGTGATATGCTGGGTCTTTGTTGAAAATGTATTTGAAAAAGGAATTAGCTCCTGGGAACCACCATCAGATCACTGAGTTCCCAGGTTGTGGAAAACTCATGCAATGTAAGAGATGCAGCTGGAGGAGAGAAGGCTGGAGTGTGTGTAGAGGCAGAAATCCATTGCTAGTGGCTGAGGTAGTAGGTAGGAAAAAGTAATAGACCTTCTTAGGAAGCAGAGGGAGGGCCAGGACAGAATCGTTGCTTGTGTTAATACTGCACATGTGCTGAGTTTGGAAAGGTTAGTCCTTTAAAAGCCTCCCTTGTCCCATGTATCCAGGCAGTCACAAAGTCTGTTAACAGGACTCTGATGTCTTATCTCGCTCTGGCCACTTTTTTCCTGCCTCTTTTTTCCATTTCTGTCTCTCAGTATAGGCAGCCAACATCTCCCATCTAATGCCACTGCATCGGTATTGGTTTCTGCCTCCTCCCAGTCCCTTAATACATACTGCAGCCACGTCTCCCAAATGGCACTCTTCTGCCTTAAAATATCTTACTGACTCCCCACCGCCTCCAGCTCAGTCTGCACTGATTTACAGTGCGCTGCCTGTTTGATGGCTGCTGCTTTGTTTTCCTCTTCTATCCTTGCAGCCTCCCCCTGATGGATTAACCAAGCCACCAGATACTCCTCCCTTGTTTCTGTCCTTAACTGTTGTTAACCATGTACTTCAGTGGGCTTAACCATTAGTTCATTGGAGTGGTGTTGCCTGCTTGCTTAACTCCTGGTAAAGTAGAGCTCTGGAAGGATGAGGATCTCGGTGGCCTTACTCACCTGGTACTGACATTTTGTCCAGTGAATGAAGGAAGAGCCAATTAATAGAACCAGGAGAAGTCAGAGCAAGCTCTGTTTCTTTTATAGAACCTCTTGTAACTCTTCAGGAAGCTCCAGTAAAGAGAGGTGTAATTCAGCAGAGACTCAGGTGGTCCTGCAGAGAGAGCAGTGCCATGGGCTGTCCCCACCAGCATTAAATGCTCTGTGATAGCTCCTGTCTCAGAGGCCCGTGCTGTCCCTGTCCGTCCCAGCCACTCCCTCATTCCTCTACCGCTGAACCTGAAAGAGTTGCTTCCAGTCTCCCTGTCTCTCCTTCTTCCTGTCTCTCCTGACCTCAGATAGGCATTTGTCCCCTCTGCTCCACCAAAACTGTTGTCACCATCACCACACCCTTACCTGGGCAGATTGCATGTTCAGTTCTCAGTCTTATGTTACCCAGCCTGTTAGCAGTTCTGGATACAACTGATCACGCCCTTCTCAGTTTAAGAGCCGCCCCTCTCTTGGCTCTTTAGATCCTCCCTGGGCATTCCTCTGACCCCTGGTACTGGAGTTGACTGGGGGACACAGCCATTCCCCTATCTGCATTCACTCTGCAGGTGACCTCGTCCAGGTCCATGCTCCAACTGCTGTTTCTAGTCTGAGTAGAGTCATATATAGCTACTTAATATCTTTACTTGGATGTCTTATCAGGCACCTCAGACTTCAGCACATCCAAAGTAAACTCTCATTTCCCCTCGGTACAAACAAACGCACACAGACCAAACTTGCTTTTCCCTCAGTCTAGTAAACAGGATTACAGCAGTTGCTGTGGAATCTCTTTGACCCTTCTACTACCACCACCAGCCCCCACCCTTCCCTGCCCCTGCCCTGCACCATAGTCAACCAACACACTCAGCTTGTTAGCATCATTTCCAGAACACAATCAGGGTTTGACCACTTCCCACTATCTTTAAGCCACTTGTCTCTACCCCTGCCCCTCTCCTGGAGGATGTAGTAGGCCTCTCTTGTCTCCCTGTCCACCACCTACAGTTTTCTGTCTTTCATGTAGCACCGAGAATGATTCTCCTATATTTCAGTTGATCTTCTGTTTCTCTGTTGGGTCCTTGTTTCCACTTAGAATAAAGGTCAGCAGCCTGTAAGGCTCTGCATGAGCTGATATTATCTCCTGCTCTCCTCCTTCCCTCCCTGTGCCTACCCCCCTCCAACTTCTGGCCAACTCTTGAACACATCTAACACGTTCTTGACTCACAGCTTGCACATTTGCTGTTTCCTCTATCCAGAGGACTTCTTCCACCAAATATCTGCATGACTGATTTTCTTTAGATCTCTACTCACCTGTCATCTTGCTGGTGAGTCTGCTCAGCTTTCTTCACCGTCCAACTCTCACATCCATACATGACTACTGGAAAAACCATAGCCTTGATTAGACAGACCTTTGTTGGCAAAGTAATGTCTCTGCTTTAAATATGCTATCCAGGTTGGTCATAACTTTCCTTCCAAGGAATAAGCATCTTTTAATTTCATGGCTGCAGTCAGCATCTACAGTGATTTTGGAGCCCAAAAAAATAAAGTCTGACACAGTTTCCACTGTTTCCCCATCTATTTCCCATGAAGTGATGGGACCAGATGCCATGATCTTAGTTTTCTGAATGTTAAGCTTTAAGTCAACTTTTTCACTCTCCTCTTTCACTTTCATCAAGAGGCTTTTTAGTCACTCTTAGTCCTTCCCTGACCACCTTGTACCATCAATCTCAGGTTGGGCTAGACTGGGCTCCTCTTGGGCATTGAGACTCAGAAGTGACTTCAGATTTCCTTTTCATTCTCTGAGGCACACCTGTTGTTATTGTTCAGTTGCTAAGTCCTATTTGACCCTTTGCAACCCCATGGACTGCAGCACGCCAGGCTTCCCTGTCCTTCACTATCTTCCAGAGTTTGCTCAAATTCATGTCCATTGAGTTAGTGATGCCATCTAACCATCTCATCCTCTGTCATCCCCTTCTCCTGCCCTCAGTCTTTCCCTAGCATCAGGGTCTTTTCCAATGAGTGGGCTCCTCGCATCAGGTGGCCAGAGTATTGGAGCTTCAGTAATAGTCCTTTCAATGAATACTCAGACTTGATTTCCTTTAGGATTGACTGGTTTGATCTCCGTGCAGTCCAAGGGACTCTCAAAGAGTCCTCCAGCACCACACTTCGAAAGCATCAGTTCTTTGGTGCTCAGTCTTCTTTATAATCCTATGACTGCTGGAAAAACCACAGCTTTGACTCTACGGACCTTTGTCAGCTTTTTAATGTGCTGTCTAGGTTTGTCATAGCTTTCCTCGAAGGATCAAGCATCTTTAATTTTGTGGCTGCTGTCACCATCCACAGTGATTTTGGAGCCCAAGAAAATAAAGTCTGTCACTGTTTCCACTGTTTCCTCATCTATTTGCCGTGAAGTGATGGGACTGGATGTCCTGATCTTTGTTTTTTGAATGTTTGAGTTTTAAGCCAGCTTTTTCACTCTCCTCTTTCACCCTTTCAAGAGGCTCTGTAGGTTCTCTTTCCTTTCTGCCATTAGGGTATCATCTGCACATCTGAACTTATTGATATTTCTCCCAGCAATCTTGATTCCAGCTTGTAAGTCAGTTCAGCCCAGCATGATGTACTCTGCATCGAAGTTAAATGGGCAGGGTAACAATATACAGTCTTGAAGTGAAATGAAGTGAAAGTCGCTCAGTTGTGTCTGACTGTTTGTGACCCCGTGGACTATACAGACCTTGAAATTCTCCAGGCCAGAATCCTGGAGTGGGTAGCCTTTCTCTTCTGCAGGGGATCTTCCCAACCCAGGGATTGACCTCAGGTCTCCCACATTGCAGGTATGTTCTTTACTAGCTGAGTCACAAGAGAAGCCCTATACAGCCTTAACGTACTCCTTTCCCAGTTTTGAACCAGTCCATTGTCCCATGTTCAGTTTTAACTGTTGCATATTGATCTACATACAGGTTTCTTAGGTAAGATGGTTTGGTATTCCTATCTCTTCAAGAATTTTCCACAATTTGTTGTGACCCACACAATCAGAAGGCTTTCGAGTAGTCAGTGAAGCAGAAGTACATGTTTTTTCTAGAATTGCCTTGCTTTCTCTATGATATTGCAGGTGTTGACAATTTGATCTCTTGATTCCTCTGCCTTTTCTAAACCCAGCTTGTACATCTGGAAGTCCTCCATTCACGTGCTGCTAAAGCCTAGCTTGAAGGATTTCGAGCATTACCTTGCTAGCATGTGAAACGAGCACATTTGTACGGTAGTTTGAAAACTCTTTGGCATTGCTCTTCTTTGGGATTGAAATAAAAACTGACCTTTTTCAGTCTTGTGGCCACTGCTGAGTTTTCCAAATTTGCTGGCATTTTGAGTGCAGCACTTTTAACAGCATCATCTTTTAGGATTTCAAATAACTCATCTGGAATTCCATCACTTCTACTCACTTTGTTCATAGTAATGGTTCCTAAGACCAACCTGGACTTCACAGTCTAGGATGTCTGGTTCTAGGTGAGTGATCACACCATCCTGATTATTCTGGGTCATTAGGACCTATTCTGTACAGTACTTCTGTGTATTCTTGCCATCTCTTCTTAATCTCTTCTCCTTCTCTTAGGTCCTTACAGTTTATCATGCCTATCCTTGCATGAAATGTTCCTTTGCTATTTCCAGTTTTCTTGAAGAGATCTCTAGTCCTTCCTAATTTAATAAGGCTCAGAAGAGATGATCTCCAAAGTTCCTTTTACATGAAAAATGCAGATCACATAATTTTGGAAGATGTAGCTCTCAGTATATAGTTTTGGTAAGGAAGAAGGGAGAGAATCAATTGCATTCAAGGCAGACCACTAAGGATATTACCTGGCAATATGTTCAGCAATTTTGTGTCAGTTTGGAATTACGAAAAATTGGAACTCATGACTAGTCTCTTGCATCTCAGTATCAGCCAGCTATTTCCAACACAGTTTTAAGCACTACAGTTTCTGTAAACAAAAGCATGTTTATATTTGTGTGAGGAAACACAGAAGAGCCTGAGTTCCTGTGGGCATTTACTGTTCAGATTGAGGCCTCCCTCACTGCCCACTGAGCTCCCTGGTTCACTGCAGTCATTTGTTGAATGAATGAAATGGATTTATATCCAGTAAAACTTCTTAAATGAGAATGTAGAGTGGTCTGTTGTTACAGTCTTCCTTACTCATTTGAGATGATAAAGGACGTAACATGGATAATGAAAGCTGATCACCAGTGGCTAGTGTTTGACCTTACTTCTGCTACCCTGTTCTTTCTAGGCCCCAAAGACGAAGACGAGAAGCCTTCTGCTTCCACCAACGAGCAACCAGCCGTCCCTCAGGAGGTGGTGAGCCAGGATGTGCCTCCGGAGCTCGCCCTCCCTCCCCCTGCCCACGAGCCCCAGACAGGACCAGATGTGGAGCTGGAAGCAGCGCTCTGTGAGGCGAACGAGGTGGTGGAGGAGGAAGAGGAGGAGGAGGAAGAGGAGGAGCTGGAAGAAGAGGGAGAAGAAGCAGCTGATGTGCCAAATGAAAGTTCCCTGAGAGAGCCGGAGATCCGATGTGACGAGAAGCCCGAGGATTTGTTAGAAGAACCAAAAACTGTTTCAAAGGAAACTCTCGAAGACTCTGCGGAGGCAGCCCTTGTTGTGAAAACTCCCAGAGCCAGAGAAGAGGCCAACGGGGATGTGTTTGAAACATTTCTGTTCCCATGTCAGCACTGCGAGAGGAAGTTCACGACCAAGCAGGGACTGGAGCGGCACATGCATATCCACATGTCTACGGTCAACCACGCCTTCAAGTGCAAGTACTGTGGGAAGGCTTTCGGCACACAGATCAACCGGCGGCGCCATGAGCGGCGCCACGAGGCCGGGCTGAAGCGGAAACCTGAGGACCCGGCCAGCGGCAAGGCCTCCGGCGACGGTGCTCCTCCCCAGGACGACACGCAGCCCCCCAGTCTTGGGCAGGATGGTTTGACCTTGAACTCAGAGAAGGCGTCCCAGGACTCAGTGACTACTTCCGTTGTAGAAGAGAACGGCGAAGCTAAAGAGCTTCACCCATGCAAGTACTGTAAGAAAGTTTTCGGCACTCACACGAATATGAGACGGCATCAGCGCAGAGTTCACGAGCGGCACCTGATTCCCAAGGGGGTGCGGCGGAAAGGGGGCCTCCTGGAAGAGCCACAGCCCCCAGCAGAGCAGGCCCCGCCCGCCCCGAGTGTATACGTCCCCAGCACAGAGCCAGAAGAGGAAGGGGAGGCAGACGATGTGTACATCATGGATATTTCCAGCAATATCTCTGAGAACTTAAATTACTATATTGATGGTAAAATTCAGACCAGCAGCAGCACCAGTAACTGTGATGTTATTGAGATGGAATCCAATTCGGCAGACTTGTACGGAATAAACTGTCTGCTCACTCCCGTCACAGTGGAAATAACTCAGAACATAAAGACCACGCAGGTCCCTATAACCGACGATCTCCCTAAAGAGCCTTCCAGCAGCACAAACAGTGAGTCCAAGAAACGGAGGACTGCTAGTCCGCCCGTGTTACCCAAAATTAAAGCCGAGACTGAGTCTGATCCTGCCACACCTTCCTGTTCCTTGAGTCTGCCTCTCAGCATATCAACCTCAGAGGCGGTATCTTTCCACAAAGAGAAAAGCGTGTATTTGTCATCAAAGCTCAAACAGCTTCTTCAGACCCAGGATAAATTAACTACTCCTGCAGGGATTTCTGCCACCGAGCTACCCAAATTAGGCCCCGTCTGCGTGTCCGCTCCTGCGTCGATGCTACCCGTGACCTCTAGCAGGTTTAAGAGGCGAACTAGCTCTCCCCCCAGCTCTCCCCAGCACAGCCCTGCTCTGCGAGACTTTGGAAAGCCAGGAGATGGGAAAGCCATGTGGACTGAGGCAGTTCTAAGCTCCAAAAAACCCAAATTAGAGAGTCACAGCAACTCACCAGCGTGGAGTTTGTCTGGGAGAGATGAGAGAGAAACTGGGAGCCCACCAGGCTTTGATGAATATAAGGTGTCTAAAGAGTGGGCAGCTAGCTCTACTTTTAGCAACGTGTGCAACCAGCAGCCACTGGATTTGTCCAGTGGTGTGAAACAGAAGACTGAGGGGCCAGGCAAAGCTCCGGTCCAGTGGGAAGCCGTGTTAGATCTCAGTGTGCATAAAAAGCCCTGTGGTGACTCTGAAGGCAAGGAATTCAAAGAAAACCATGTGCTGCAGCCAGCCTGCAGTGCTGTAAAGAAAAGGAAACCCACCACCTGCATGCTGCAGAAGGTCCTTCTCAACGAATACAATGGCGTCGACCTCCCTGTAGAAAACGCTCCAGATGCGTCCGGAAGCGCCAGTCCCTGTAAACCTCTAGAACCTCAGCCAGACCCTGACCTTGGTCTCAACTCAAGCTTGACTGCCGCTGTTGTCGAGTCTCCTCCTGACGTTTCTTCATCATCACCTGCCCTACAACCATCTTCCCTTTCTTCCGGGCAGCTGCCGCCTCTCCTGACCCCCACCAATCCCTCTTCTCCTCCACCCTGCCCTCCCGTGTTAACTGTTGCCACCCCGCCCCCTCCTCTGCTTCCTACCATCCCTCTTCCAGCCCCCTCTTCCGGGGCGTCCCCTCACCCGTGTCCCTCTCCACTCTCGAATGCCACCGCACAGTCCCCACTTCCAATTCTGTCCCCGACGGTGTCTCCCTCGCCGTCCCCCATTCTTTCCATGGAGCCCGTTATGTCTGCCGCTTCACCAGGGCCTCCAACACTCTCCTCCTCTTCCTCCTCTTCTTCCTCCTCTTCCTTTTCATCTTCCTCCTCCTCCTCTTCCCCTTCGCCGCCGCCTCTCTCAGCAGTGTCATCCGTGGTTTCCTCTGGGGATAATCTGGAAACCTCTCTCCCCATGATATCTTTTAAGCAGGAGGAACTAGAGAGTGAAGACCTGAAAGCCAGGGAGGAAGCCCCATCCACCACTGAGCAGGAGATCATCCAGGAGACATTCAACAGAAACTTTGTCTGCAATGTCTGTGAATCACCTTTTCTTTCCATTAAGGATCTAACCAAACATTTATCCATTCACGCTGAGGAATGGCCCTTCAAATGTGAATTTTGTGTGCAGCTCTTCAAGGTGAAAAGTGATTTGTCAGAACATCGCTTTATGCTTCATGGCGTTGGGAATATCTTTGTGTGTTCAGTTTGTAAAAAGGAGTTTGCATTCTTGTGCAATCTGCAGCAGCACCAGCGAGATCTCCACCCGGATAAGGTGTGCACGCACCATGAGTTCGAAAGCGGCACCCTGAGACCCCAGAACTTTACGGATCCCAGCAAGGCCCACATCGAGCACATGCAGAGTTTGCCAGAAGACCCTCTAGAAGCATCTAAAGAAGAAGAGGAGTTGAACGATTCTTCTGAAGAGCTTTATACGACCATCAAAATAATGGCTTCTGGAATAAAGACGAAGGATCCAGATGTTCGATTGGGTCTCAACCAACATTACCCAAGCTTTAAACCACCCCCATTCCAGTACCATCACCGCAGCCCCCTGGGCATTGGTGTGACGGCCACAAACTTCACTACGCACAACATCCCACAGACGTTTACCACCGCCATTCGCTGCACCAAGTGTGGGAAGGGCGTGGACAATATGCCTGAACTGCACAAACACATCCTGGCATGTGCTTCTGCGAGTGACAAGAAGAGGTACACCCCCAAGAAAAACCCGGTCCCGCTGAAGCAGACTGTGCAACCCAAAAACGGCGTGGTGGTTCTGGACAACTCTGGGAAAAACGCCTTCAGACGAATGGGCCAGCCCAAAAGACTGAACTTTAGTGTGGAGCTCAGCAAAATGTCCTCGAATAAGCTCAAGTTAAACGCGTTAAAGAAAAAAAACCAGCTCGTCCAGAAAGCAATCCTGCAGAAAAACAAGTCCGCAAAGCAGAAGGCTGACCTAAAAACCACTCCCGAGTCGTCTTCCCACGTCTGCCCGTACTGCCACAGAGAGTTCACGTACATCGGGAGCCTGAACAAGCATGCCGCTTTCAGCTGTCCCAAAAAACCTCTTTCTCCTTCCAAAAAAAAACTTTCCCACTCTTCCAAGAAAGGGGGGCACCCGTCACCTGCCGGGAGTGACAGAAACAACAGCAGCAGCCACCGCAGACGGACAGCAGACGCTGAGATTAAAATGCAGAGCATGCAGGCGCCTCTGGGCAAGACCAGAGCTCGCAGCTCGGGCCCCTCGCAGGTGCCGCCACCCCCCTCGTCCTTCAGGTCCAAGCAGAATGTTAAATTCGCCACTTCGGTCAAGTCCAAAAAACCAAGCTCCTCTTTAAGGAACTCGAGCCCCATACGCATGGCCAAAATGACTCACAGCGAGAGCAAGAAGCCCAAAGCTGCAGCCAAGAACCATGCAACTCCCCTCTCAGGCAAGACGTCAAGGAGCCTGCACGTGAGGGCTCAGAAGAGCAGAGCCGTCTTACAGAGCAAGTCGGCCTTGGCCAGTAAGAAACGGACAGACAGGTTCAGTGTAAAATCCAGAGAACGGAGTGGGGGGCCAATCACCCGAAGCCTGCAGCTGGCGGCTTCTGCCGACCCGAGTGAGAACAGGAAGGAGGATGGCAGTGGCAAGCAGGAGCTGAAGGACCTCAGGTAAGCAAAGCTCCAGGGTCAGAGGAATTCAGAGCTCAAGAGCAAGGGGGGAAAGACGGTTGGAAGAAAACATTTGCCCAATGGCTCATTTTCCTTTTTCCTGCACGATTTTGACATAAGCGTTTAAAGGAAATAGCTGTTGCTTAAGGTGTAGGCAGACGTGGAGGAGGGTCAGTGCTTTGGCTGCTGCAAAGATGGACGCATAGCTTTTATTTCACATGTAGGACTCACAGAGTGGTACCATTTCTTTAATAGGGCCAGTTGTGAACTGGATTTGAAGCCATGAAAAGCTCCCCAAAGTACCCTACTATGAAACGGTGAAATTCTCTCAAACTTCCTGTATATCTTGGGTGGTATCCCAGTGTCACTTGTATTAACTTTCCCATCATAGATGTTTTCTTATGTTCTGATGTATCGTGGAGTTCATTAAAATCATATTACAGTCTGATTTAATATTTCTGTGACTTAAAGAGTGGTTCTAGCAACTGAGACTGCTTTTTATTACTCATGCTTTCTTCTATTGTGTTTTAATTTTAAAAACTTGCCTCTTAGTCAAAATAAATCAAAACACGGTACCCTGTTCCTTTTAAAATGCTGCATGTCTGTGTCTTCTCCTGTCCCCCCCACCCCCCACCGGCTCATGTCTCCAAGCATAGGGTGATAAACAGCCAGATTCCCATGGCTGGGGGGGATGAGGAGAGAGTGCATGCTGAGGCCAGACCCTGTGGTTCTTCCAGGTGTGGGTGGGGACCCAAGGCAAGTCACCCCACTTGTCAGTGCCTTTGTTTCCCCAGTGTGATGCCAGAGCTCATCTTAGATCTAAGGTGATTTCTCTGTTTGTTCTGTGTTCTTCCTTCATTAAAATGTTCTTAGTGATAGATAAAAAACAGAGGGCAGGAGTTAAGTTTGTTACGTTGACTTCTTAAACTTTCTAAGTTACTTCACCTATGAGTGGAGTGTACTTTTGGTATTCCTGCTGCTTCCTGCATAAGACCTGCAGGTCCATCTCCGGTGAAATTCATCAGCTAGAATTTCTGTGAAGTGTTGAGAAATCCTGTCCTTTCAGAGTGAGCTGCGTGACTAGGCTGTTGGCTGTAACTTTGTGTCTCAGAATCCTTTGGTATCTTAAGCGAGCAGAGTTAACTGCAGGGGGAGGGGGAGGATGACTGCTGTCTGGAGGGGTCACGGGGGCTCAGAGACGCTGTTCCCACCGCACAGTCGATGAGGCAGGGTTCTTGATGCTGGTGCCATAAGTCATGGCTGAAGATGGAGAGAAGGATCATTAGCCAAGGGCAGACTGGAATGATGGACTGTAGGGAAAAAGGATCAGATTTTTCTGTTAAGCTTCTTCATAAAAGTTAATGTAGATCTCACGCAGCATCTGGTGTCTGACCCTGGCATGTGCGTATACAGCATCTTGGAACTTAGTTAGTCCGGGCGAAAGTAAGCACCGTTGATGAGCTGTCCAGGCTGCCTGCCGGTAGCAGCTTCACTGTGTGCCTCCTTGTACTCCGTCTGTTCTGGAAGTTCAGCAACAGGACGCTCTTGAGCTGTCCTTTCCAAGGTTCAAGAACCCTTTATGCTGTCATTTTCACGGACTGTACTGAAAAACGTTTCCCAAGTGGTTGATGCTTTAGAATGTACTCTGTATTCCTCTTGGTCTCCGATAGTATCTGCAAGAATCACTTATTTTGTATTGGATCCCATTTATACAGTTCAAAGGTAAAGTTGATATGGGAAAATTAATATTCTTTAAAGGAAACCTGAGTGAGGTCCATCCAGTGCTTTTGAAGGACCCTTAAAGACTGCAGAGGACCGAAGTGCCTAATAAAATTGTGTCTGTTTTTTGCTTCAGTTAGTTTTAATTATTTTGCTTTGTTTGTGAGTTAACATTGCTGGAATGAAATTTGACCTGAAAGGAAACAAGAATCAGATAAGAGGTGGATAAATTGTTCTGGCTGTATATGGTAGCTGCAGGCTTCCATGGAAGCTGGCTGCAGCTTTGTGTGAGACACAGCGGTGCTGCGGACACATCTGAAGGATGTGTGTCTTTCACAGGGGTCCACTTAAAAGTGATCTTAAAGTGTTTTGGGGAATTACAAAATGAATATTCAGTGGGACATCATATTTTGATTATCTGGGCAGAAGAGTGGGTGTTTCTTCAGAGAGCTGTGGTCGTCTTGGTACCTTGTAGTGAATTTGGTTTAACACCGGAATTCTCGGCGCAGGCCTGGAGGATGTAATGGTCCGTCTGTCAGCTCCAGGCTCCTAGCAGAGGCCTCTCCTTGGTTCATGTTTGTTACCCTACACTGGCAGGGAGTTCACTAGACGTCTTTCCTTTTCAGTGTATTTCTTCTTAGAAATTGTATTCAAGGGGGATTTTGTAGTACAAGTTTGGAAATACCCGCTTCCATTCTGTTTTCAGTGTTTTTGCTGTACTCTCCCCATTGCACATTCAAGGACTTAGCCCGGAACTGGCAGCACACCCTTTTCCTGTGTATTTCATCATAACTGTGATTAAGGGCTGGTCCTCAACGCACAGGTGTTTTACATTCAAATACCGGTTTAGAATTCCTTAGATTTTCAAGTATACACTTGCAGTCAGCCGTGAGAACGACGTCAGTTTTCCATCCCACACTGAGGGCTCAGCAGAATTTGCCGTTCAGTCATTTCCTGGAGCACAAGCCATTGTGCCATTCAGGGTGTGAAAGAGGCATGTGCTCCAAATCCTTTTCTTAGGACAAAGCTGCAGAGACATACTACTCTCTAGATTCTCCTGTTACAGCTCTTAATCCAGCAAACCCTTGTTGGGCTCACCTTCACTGTTTGGGACAACCCACTGGTGGCTTGTCAGTGGAACTGCATTTAGTGCTGTTGCTGAGGGCTCATTTCGCTGGGCTGTAAGACAAAAAAGACAAGGAAAGAAGTATATTTTCTGCTCCCTTCTTACCCACCTTTAGTGTTTGTGAGTCCCAAGGCATTTTTACATTCTTCAGTACTGCTTTTAGAGCAACTTTTGTGTTCCCATTGCAGCCAGTTAAGGACATGTAAATAAGTGATGGAGGAGTAAAATAAAATTTCAGACCAAGTTTTTCCATTTACCATGAAAGTGATTAAAAGAGGAAAATGGTGCTGATTTCTCACATCCCATCTCTGCCACACCACTCCAAGGAGATCGTCTGTGGCCCTCCCAGCGCTCCCTGCACATCTTCCTACTCATCCTGTTGCTGTCTTCACGTTTGTCCCGTGGTCTCCCTACCTTTTCTTAAACTTGGTCAGTTCATAGAAGGTTGTATCATGTTGTCATTTATCTTCAGTTTTCTAATTTTCTAGGAACTTTCTGTAGAAAAGCCCCCCCCCCCCCAACAAAACAAACCTTAATAATTGACTAAATATCTTGCATGCTCAACTTAGGATAAGCACTACGGCAAAGAATACGAAATGTACCAAACTTCTGAGACCAGTTGAAGCTAACTCAAACATCCTAACACATAGCTGATTGCCAGCGGGCTTCTTGTTGCCGTGGGCAGAATCAGGCACGCACTCCTTCACTGGCACCCAGCCTGCAGGCTGGGCTCTCAGGTGGTTGAGATGCGGAGGGCGCTGTGAGACAGGCTGGCTGACCCAGCTCCTGGTCCCCGGGACTGGTAACTCAGACCTGAGAACTCAGACCTGAGTGTGGCCCTGGTTTTTGGCACATAGCAGAGAAAGGAACAATTTGAACCTGACCTTGCAAAGCAAGTTCTCTGTTTCGTCAGTAGTCGATGGTAGATTTCAGGGATGGCAGACTGGATGCACTCATTTTATAATGTTTTGGTCACACACACCAGCTCTTGATGCCTTTCCTTTAAGTGAATTGTAGATAGAGGCATTGAGCTTCCTTCTTAGCCTGTTTTCTTGTTTGTTTGTTGTTTTTTTATCACAAGCCGATTGCCAGCATAATGGAGAGGAAACCAGATTGGATATGAACTCTTTTTTACGTCTCTTCCAGTGTCATGTTTATATATCCAAATTCACATGATCCTCTCAGATTATTATCTGGCACTAATTTATAACTGTTATATTATTGGAAATGGTATCTATATGTCAGTGCCCAGGATACATCACAGGCTTGTGCAGATGTATGTCTACACATAAGTGTAAATGAATTTACGTATCAGATTTTACACTTCAGTCTCTAATAGAGATTTAAAAAGCCCAACAAATTGGCCTATTTCTGAGTGTATGGGTATCATTTCTCCATGCATTATCTGCCTTCCCCCTGATTGATGACTGAGTTGGTGGAAAATGGCTAGGTTTTATTCATGTTTTTTTTGTTGTTCTCAACTTTAAAAGTAATCTACCTCTTAAAATTTGTAGTTTAATACATGTTTGGTGAACTTGTGCCACTTTAACCTTTTCACTATCATTCCCATTTTGTTACATTTCTGTTATGGGGACTTTATGTTGAAATATTGTATAAAGCATTTGTAGCAGTTTAAAAATAAAATATTTAAAATTATTTAAATTGTTTTGGACGCTTCAATTGTATTATATGTGATTTACATTTTACATTTTTGTTTGAGTTGTTAATCTGGAGAGTGTTCTTGTATTGAAGTTTGCTGTTAGTAATTTTATTCTTGTTGGAGAGTGATATAAAAGACTATTCTAAAGAAAACATTAAAATTTACAAAATGACATACAAAAGGGGTTGTCCTTTGATTTTAACCAATGTAGCCTTGAGAGAGAGAGAGGTTAATTATAGACAAGAGTGGTGTTTGCTACATTTTCCCCTTCCAGCATGAAATAAATCATTTGAGCTTGTCAAATGTATGGAAAGGTTTTTTTATGCTGTTGCTAGCAAGCACTTCATGAAGAGGGGGAATTCAAATGATGCATTTTATATCATTGTAATCAATAAAAAACTTTCTGAAAGCTGTGAAAGGACTGCATTTTGTACATCATTGGGGTCAGTTAAGGGGGAAAATGAAGGTGTATGTAGGAGGGGCATTCACAGGCTG